AGGCTGGCCTCGAACTCAGAGATCCCCCGCCCCTTCCCCCCCAGTGCTGGGATTAAAGGGGGGTGCCAACACTGCCCGGCCCATTTTTTTTTTTTTAATCAAAAGACAAACCATATAATGTTTAATTATGAAAATGTGGCTGAAACCTGACAAGTGACTTTGTAACTTAGCCTCAACCTACCCTCCCTTAAAAAATATGTTTATCTGTGTTTTGTTTGCATATATACGTCTGTGGCATCACATGCATGCCTGGTGCCCATGGAGGCCAGGAAAGGGTGATGGATAGCCAGAACTGGAGTGAGCTGTTCAGACAGTTGTGAGCTGCCAAGTGGGCACTGGAAATAGAAGAACAGGGAGTGCTCTTAACGGCTGAGCCATCATTCCAGCTCTCCCCTTATCCCCCACTTTTTTTTTTTCTTTGTCTTCAGCAACAGTTTTGAAAATGACAGCCTGGGTTCTTGGTATCAAGTTTCTGGTGCCTTGCAAGGGCAGAGTAGAGTAGAAGATTTCCCTTCCCTCCTAAGTCCTCAAATAAATTTTAGCTGACTGCTTGACTTGTGAGAAGCTTCCTGAAGGATGAACCTTCCAGAGAATTTGCCTGTTTTGTCAAATATGGAATTCTCTCAGAAAGATGACATGATTATACTTCAAAAAAATTGTCCATTTAGGCTACTATAGCACTACTACTGTGGACTGGACTGGGCAATTTCTAAAGAACAGACATTTTTCCAGTTCTAGGAGAAAGGAAGTCCTAAATGAAGGCACTAGTATCTGATACGTTCTTGTTTACTGCATGGGAATATTCTAGGTATCTGAAGCATGATGGATAGCAGAAGCACAAAAATGGAAGGAAAGAGTGAACCAATGTGTATGATCCCTCCCTGAAATCGTGTCTTATCTACTCAGTGCATGGCTCTTAGGACCTCAGCATCTCCCAGAAGATCCCAGTGGCATTAGGTTTTGACCTATGAATCCTGGAGGAACACTTAAATTGAAACCATAGCACATTAAAAGGCAAATTAAGCATGTATTTTCAGTTGGGGCCCAAGTATCAAATGACACACATTTAAAATGTGGGGACAAAAAGTGGGGACTGGGATGCTTTGGGAATTGTTCTGTTTCTCTGCAATCCTGGGGATGAAATCCAGGGCTTTAAGTAAGTGTTCTACTGCTACATGCCCAGCCCCAAATAAGGGATGTAAATTTCTAGTTTAGTTATTGTAGTGACATTAAAACTACATATTCAAACATGCCATCTTCCAAATTACAAGTAGACTCTAGAAGCAAATGCCTAAGTGTCCTTTCTAGTAGCGGTTCAAGGGATGAGAGGGATCTTATGAAGAGAGGTGACTAAAGCTCTCCAGTTCAACAACCACTTTTCTTATAAACAACAACCATACGCTAAAAATATCCTACAAACTATTGTCACAGTGTGTAAGCAAAAGGGCAGATACTAAAGCTGGAATTCTGGGTGGGGTCATTTGCAGCTCATCCCAGACAGCCAAATGGTATAGTATAGCCTAGGTTTGGCTTTGCATCTGTAAGATCTAAGAGATCTGTAACATAGCTGGTTGTGCTCCTAAAGTATTCATCTAGTAGATACTGTTTAGTGGGCTCCAGGATGTTTCAAATGCTAGTCATATTTTTGGGCTGGCTTTATTCTTAGGTTATCTGGATGGCCTGAAAGAGAGGGCTGGGGAAAGCTTCCAGTCTCCCAGCAACTATGCAGGTGACATCTGGTGACTGCTCATTCTCAGGGGCATCTACCATTTATTTTTTACTGAGTCACATCTCATAGAGAAAAAACAGCTTAAGTATCAGCCCCAAGGTCTGCCTTTCTAATTCTTGGAAGACTTCTGATGGCTCGTCTTTAGCTTCTTTGCCTAACACAACTTCCAGCAGCAGCTTCCTCGTGGAGCTGTGGCCCAGATGCACCTTTGCTTGTGTCGTCTGAATGCTCACATCACTATTCCACCTCCTGAGGTCCTGACTTGTGCTTTAGCTCCCTCCTAACTTTACTTAGCTTTTAGGAAAGCCCAGCTTTACCTACTTGTTAAGTTGTGTTACTTTTTTCACTTAGGAATTTAATTTTCTTCTTTTTCTTTCTTTCTTTTTTTTTTAGTTTCACATCTTTAAATTCAGCATCCAGAAGGTGGAGTTAGACAACTCTCCATGAGTTCTAGGTCAGCCTGGTCTACATAGAGTTCCAGGGGAACTTGGGTCACATGCCGAGTGGGAAAACTTTTTTTAAAAAGTGTGCTTGTGAATAGAGTAGCACATGTGAAGGTCAGAGGACATTTGCAGGAGCCAGTTTTCCCCTCCACTATGTAGTTCCCAGGGACTGAATGTAGGTTATCAGGCTTGGTGACAAGTGCCTTTCACCTCATCATTTTGCCATGTTCTAACTCCTAAAATTTTTAATGTAAGTCTCATTATGTTGCTATGCCTGGCTTCAAATTCTTGTGCTTTTAGCCTGCAAGTACGTGGGAATACTGGTCTGTACCACTTCCCTGGCTCAACATTTGTCTTTTTTTTTTTTTTTAAATAAGACTTCATTGCTAACAACTTTTGTGCCATCTCAATGAGTTACCAAGACTTTCCAGAGTTTCATCTGAATCATGATCTATATTGTGGAGACAAAGATGGCTGTTGTTGCTTGGAATATAGCTTCTCTACATCTTTTTTTTTTTTTTTGAATCAAGAATGAGTTTGTTGTGGTTGTGGTGACAGCCCAGCAGTAAAAGGACTGGCTGCTGTCCTGCAGAGAACCCAGGTTTGATTCCCGGCACCTACATGACAGCTTATAATAATCTGTGACTACAGTTCCAGAAGATCCAATGCCCTCTTCTTGCCTCCTTGGGCAATACATGTGGTACACAGACATATATGCAGTGAAAATATGCATACATCTTAAAAATAAATAGTAAAAAGGAAATAGAGCTGGATATAATAACATAAATGATTTTAAACTCAGCACTTGGAGGCTGGGCCAGCAGATCTGAGGTTCAAGCCAGCCTGGTCTTCATATTGAATTCCAGGCCAGTCAGGACTTCATTTTGAGACATTTTTTCTCTTTTAAAAAGAGCCTAAGCCAGGCATTGTGGTGTACACTTGGGAGGCAGATCTCTGTGAGTCTGAGGCCAGCTTGGTCTATGCAGTGAGTTGCAGGATAGTCATAACTATAACATTTAAAATCAAAACCAACCAAACAAAAAACAGTGGGACATTTATGTCATGGATATTTCTCTCTAAGATTCTTTTGGTATCATTCAATACAGCTCCTGAAGCAGTATTTATTATTTTGTGATGAGCTATACTACTTGAGTCTTCTAAGGTCCTATAAATGTAGTGCTAGAAGCAATGTTCTTTGGGTTCTAGTGAGGGGCCATGGTTTTCTACTGTTAAAGAATAAAAAAAAGTCATTTGAAAAGTTGTACAAAATCTAAAATTAAATAAAAATTAACCCAACAAATTATATAGCTGCCCTAACACAAGGAAACTTCAGTCTCACCTTTATTATGCTTCATTTTAATCTCCTTGCTGGGTTTACACTAGGAAGTAACTTTAGTCTGGATCAGAATTTAAAAGGAAGATATTTTCTGCTACAGAAAAGCAAGAGTTTATTGACTTTACTGCTCTTAGTTCACTTTCTTTGTGGTAGAAAGTTGAAAATGTGCTGAATTACTAAGCAGTTTGCCATATCTAATCCTGAAAATAATTATGAGCAACATCATCAAATAAAGACTAACATATGTTTGAATCTGCAAATTTTTCTTTGGCTGTGATCTATGGTGTCTTCTTTAAAACCATCAACAATCTGGGGGACTGGATGTAGCTATGCAGATTAATGGTAGAGTGTGCACTTAGCATACACAAGGCCCTGGCTTCAATCTCTGACTTGGTGTGTTGGTGGGGGACCTGCAAAACACCAACCAGTAATGTAAAGTCTGTAACTAGTAATCTTTTAGGAAGCCATCTCAAGGGATGTAGTGTGGCTAGTGTATGATCTAGTGGCTCTCAGGCCTTAGAGAAATGTAACAGCTGGCAACACTGTTAGAATATGACGATGCATACAACTAGATCGTAGAAACAGAATACTTGATAGATGAGCAAAGAGAAACCAAGACATTACATTGGAATGGAGAAAATAAAATGATAAAGTTTAAGAATCTAGCAGAGGGCTGGAGAGATGGCTCAGCCTTTAAGAGCACTGACTGCTATTCCAGAGGTTCTGAGTTCAATTCCCAGCAACCACATGGTGGCTCGCAACCAGATGGGATAGTAATGTGATCTGAGCCCCTCTTCTGGTATGTCTAAAAACAGCCACAGTATATTCATATAATAAAGTAAGTAAATAATTCTTAAAAAAAAAAGTTTAACAGAAACTGAAAAATTAGGCTATTCTATTCCCTATGTTACTCTAAACCACTGTTTACACAGCAGCCAATGATTTGTACCTCACCTCATAGCTCTGCTCAACCCACTATGATTTCCTTTCAAGTCTAACCACTGTCCATAAGACCTACTATGTCTCAGTATCCAGAAAGCTCAAAGGCCTCATTTCTTACACCACATTCCTTCTCTTATTCTAGCTATCCAATCCTTTTAGTTCCAAACAAGAACAGACAATCTAAGACAACTCTCTCGCTGCGCCTAGAAGACAGCCTCACATAATTCTCTTTTGTTTATTTTAAAACTTCTTCAAGGATCCATTCATATGCCATCTATCAGTAAAATTCTGGCCGATTAAGATCATGTGATCTTACCTCAACATTGTCAATCTTTGTTTTATTTTCATTTAAAACTCTAATTACCACCTGATGTTCTCTGTTATTTATTTACTGACTCCCCAACCTTCATCCCAATGCCTTTATGAAAGCAGAGACTTCTGATATTTTTATGCTGCTATAGACTCACCATCTAGAACTGTGCCCTGAATAGCAGCAGTACTTAATCAAAGTTTTACAGAACAAATGTGATGAAAAAGGACAAATACCTACCCAGAATACAACTCATAGGGCAGGTTTCTTCCAGATTACTTAGAAACACTTCTTTTTTGTAGAACATTTTTGTGGGCTCATGTTCTGTTTCTTCTGGGTGAATGAAGATAGGGCCATAAAAATATGCAGCTCCATCTCGGACCCATACTTTTTCAATTCTTGGGGGTGGGGGATAGAGAAATCAAGTTATAATAATTTCAATTTTGAATGATTACCTAATAAAAACAACAACTAAAATGTTTGTTTATATATGAGTGCTCTGCTGCACGTACACTTGTACGTAAGAAGAGGAAATCAGATCCTTTATAGATGGTTGTGAGCCATCTCAATTGAACTGGGAATTGAACTCAGGACTTCTAGAAGAGCAGCCAGTGCTCTTAACCACTGAGTCATCTCTCTGTCTCCCTAAAATGTAGCAGCATATAGCATTTAGAGGAATTTCATGGACTCTCCCCATCCTTTAAGATATCTTTCAGAGAAGACACTCTGGAAAAGAGTAAAGGACATTTGGCCACTCTGGGAAAAAATACTCTAACATAGTATCAAGGCATGTAACTAGATCATTTAATTCCAGGTTTTCTTCCTGAGATGTTCAAGATGAAAACAACTAAACATTTGTCACTGGATTTGGTAAACATTCCTTCAAAATAGAGGGTCATAGATCTTTGTACAAGATCCAGCACTAAAACACTTTCCCACTGGGATGTTGTATTTTCAACCTAAAATCAATATTACTGTCCCATATTTTCAGTGTTTCAGACATAAAGCAACATCTTCATTTCAGTGAATAATAAATCCAACTTACAGGAGTCATCCTTGAAGGTTCTATCCTTGAATTCCCTATTATATTTACTAAGAATGCTATTAGCCTGATCTCCTAAGTACTACTGTAATTAGCCAAATTTAAGAGGCCATCATTCTTGCATGGCTTATTTCAACAGCCTCCTAGCAGATCTCCTGGACCTTTTACAGTCTCTTCTTAATAAGGAGAAAGCAAAGCAATCCTATTAAATCAGAAGTCAAATGTTACTTCTCTGCTTGAAACAATAACAAAGACATTCTTTTAACTCTACAAAAGTTCAAGGGCCCACATGGTCTCTGAAGCCTTACCTTATTTCCATATTGCCCAGTACCCCTATCTACCACCTTTGACAGGGTTCACTCTGCTGGTAATAAGCTGCAGGTTTAAGAGTGATGTACTTATTTCTCAGGCCTTTATACTGGCTATTAATTCTGCTTGGAATGCTTTCCCTGATATTCACAATTCTTACATTTCTTCATGTTAGCTCAATTGCCAGATTCTTTGTGAAATCTATTCAAACCATC